CTGAGCTGAGGGGAAGAAGTGGTTAATTACAAGCAGCAGCAGATGAGCTGCAGTGGAGGTGCTGTGAATGTAAATCAGCAGTGCCTGATGCAGCCACAGCAGCCTCTGTGCATGCAGCTCCCAAAGTAATGAGCTCCTGCCCATGTTCTCGCATCCTGCTTTGATCACTTCATCTTGTTCAGGAGCTCTGATGGGAAAACAAAGGTCTGTGGCACTGACCTCCCTCCCTGCAGCTTGCACACACACCAGTATTAGTGACTGATCAAGGAGTGTTGTCTTTCCACCCCAGGATTTGGGAAAGGATGGTGACATGGTTGGGAACCTCAACTAAACAGTACAAGCTCCTCCAACATGAAGTGTCAATGTTGTTACATGGAGAAGTAATTGGAAATTCATTCCTCCCTTTCTAACCAGAAACAGGTGTATTCTCCTTCAAAAAAATCATCCCAGCAGCTCTGCAAAACATCTTCCCTGAAAGAGGTTTGCTGCTGTCTGCTCCAGAGTGGGGGGCTGGGAGATTTGTGGGATTTGATCTTACAGATGGCTTGGCCTCATTAAAAATATCCTTAGCAAAGGTATTTGTAAATCTCAGCCAGAAAAGATTACCAAAATACAGCACAAATTAATAACAAAAAAGGAGAGACTGAGGGGTTTAACCTTCCTGCCTTGAACGCTGTAATTGGGAAATCATTGGCTTGTGTTTGTAGAAATCCCAACAAAGGATGCTTAAGGTATTAAAACAAGAGGCTTTATTCCCTGGGAGGAAGCAGGAGGCAGATGCAGCACTGCAGGCCATGAGGACTCCTCCTTGGTTAGGAGCAGCTCCTGGAACTGCAAACAGCAGCAAGAGCTGTCCTTAATGAGAGCATCCATCAATTTTCAGGGGACTTGGTTGATTACCAGCACACAAACCCAGGGGACAGCCCACTGAACTGTTGGCCACTGAGGCATGAAAGAAACTCTGCACTCCTTTGCTTCCAGAAGGGAAGTCTATCAAATTCCTTAACGTTTCTCTGGAAGCAAATACAGAAAAGTTACACCAATGTGAGGTTCTCCTCAGCAAAGTGAAGTGCAAGGTCTTACCCCTGGGTCAGGGCAATCCCAGACACACCTCCAGGCTGGCAGAGAAGTGACTGAGAGCAGCTCTGGGAGAAGGACTTGGGGGTGATGGTTGGTGAAGAACCCAACATGAGCTCAGCCCAGAGACCAACCCAGGCCTGGGCTGCATCCCCAGGAGTGTGGCAGCAGGTCAAGGAGGGGAGTCTTGGTGTCCCTGCCCAGGGCAGGGATTTGGCACTGGATGATCTCTAAGCTCCAATCCAACCCCTTCACATTCTATGGTTCCATGACACTGTGGGCTGAAACATGAGCATGTGCTTTCCCCTTCCAACACATAACCTAGACCAACCTGAAAAGGACTTTCAGAGCATGTGCTTTCCCCTTCCAACACATCACCTAGACCAACCTGAAAAGGACTTTGAGATCATAAAATCACAGAATGGTTTGGGTCGAAAGGACCTTAAAGATCATCTAGTTCCAACTCCCTCACACAGGCAAACTTCCCCACAGAGTTATCCTCCTACAACAATGCCCTACAATAACTCTCCTCCTCTACCTCCCAGAAAATCTTTTGTTATTTTAAGTATTAATTCATATAAAATTCCTCCTAAAAATAATAATAATAATGATAAAAAAATTCCTCCACATGACTTGGTGCTTTACTAAAATTAATTTCAGGTTTGCTTTCTCCATGCCAGGCTGTAAAGTATCTTGCTGTGTGGAAACCTGGTGATAGCCTGAGGGGAGATTTAATGAATGTATCCATGATTTCCAGAAAGGGGGAAAAAGGCTGATGGCAAACATGGAAAGAATTGGTTTGCCCTCTTCATTAATGTGCTACCTAAACCCTGAATAATGGGCTTTAAAAGCTAATATAACTCTCAAAAAACACAGTCAGAGCTTCAGTCCTGTCTCCTGACCAAATAAGCACATTGAAATTTGCCATTAGAGCTCAGATGTTCCAAGGAAAACACACATCTCCATGCCCAGGCCCATGAGTCTGGGTTTAGCAGAAACACACAGACATTACGCCAGACTCCCCTGCTCCCACCTTGCTCAGGATGAATCTGCATCCAGCTAAAAGTGCACAATTAATATTTCATCCAGCTCTGGTGAGTTCCCTCATTCCTAATGGGCTGCACTGATCAAAGGCAGAAAGTTATCTGTGTGGCTGGAGGGAAAACCAGCGTTGTCATGTAGGAAGTGATCATCATTTCACAGGTAAACACACTCAGTAAAGGGTGTACAGAATACTGCCCAAAGGATATTGTCTGAAGTCACCAACCCTGGAGGGTTTGAGGACAGACTGGACGTGGCACTCAGCCCATGGTCTGGTTGCCATGGTGGTGTTAGGTCGGTGGATTGATGGGGTGTCCCGTGCAGGGCCTGGAGTTGGACTGGATGATCCTTGTGGGTCCTTTCCAACTTAGGAGATTCTATGGTTCTAATTTATAAAAACCCTGTGCACAAACCCCAGAATTTTGCTTCAGTGTAGACACAGGAGTTTGGAATCATAGAGCCATCAAGGTTGGAGGAGACCTCAAAGATCATCAAGTCCAACCATTAACCTGTCACTGTTGGAACCCCTAAACCAGATCCTGCAGTGCCACATCCAGACACCTCTCAAACACCTCCAGGGATGGTGACTCCACCACCCCCCTGGGCAATTCTCTATCCCAGTGCCTCAACACCCTCACAGGCAAAAGAGATTTCCTAACATCTAATTGACTCTGCCCTGTCGCAGCAGAATTGACCCTGAAGTGCCACGTTACTTCCCCAAGCAAGATCTGGGGAACTAAACACACCACTGAGGAAAACCTCACAGGCACAATGAACAATCCCCATGTTGGACCTGAGGGTTTTGATCAGTGTGCTCAGCAGGGAACAAAGTGTTTCCCCCCAAAACCAGCAGCAAGAAACAACTCCACGTGGTGTATGAGGCAGCAGTGGAGCAGCAGAGAACAGCAGAATATTTTGACTAAAGCACTTAGTGCACAGCTCTGAAATCTATAAACACCACAAGGAATCAAACCCCACAGCAGATAAAAACATTTATTTTAGGCTGAACCTGCCCTATCTGCTGCTAAATGAATAATGAAGATGTTTCTTGGCTCGAGACATCACAGGGGAATAAAATGTCACCAGTGCAGCTGCTGAATTTCCCGCTCCAGCCCTGCAAATTAAGGGCAAAAACCCACAATACAAACGTGGAATTGGATTAGGAAAAGTTCAGCTCTTTGCCCAAAGCCTGTCTCTTCCTGTAACACTGCATTCTTTTCTTCTTGGGTAAATTTCTCATTATAACAAAGACATCTTCATAATGGAATAATTGGGGTTGGAATGTAGCTGTGGTAACATAACTCTGACATTAGAAGGGGCAGCACAGCCCAGTAATGTTGGTTTAATGTGATTTGGGCACTGCAGGAACTGCCTGAACCTGCTCATTTAGGATTTGATCAATGGGAATTAGTGTCTTAAAGAGATGAACCATTTGATAATTCAGAATTTGATCAATGTGAATCAGGACTTTGTGGAGAGAAAACATTTCTCATGTACATATGGAAGAGCAGTTGAATTCAGGCAGCCCTGCAGTAGGGAGTGAAGACAAAGTGCAGGAGACCCACCAGTCTCCCATAGAAATCCATGTGGGATGTTTATATTTTGCCCCTTTTAATAGGGTTAATTATCCCTAAAGGCTGATGAAGCCACAGCTGAAGTCATTTCAGGGCCTATATGAAAGTTAATATATAACAATATTATCCCCTTGCATTTGCTCTTGAAAGAACTGAAAAAGTGGAAGAAACTCAAGTTATCTTACTAAAACTTGGTAGCTATATTCCTGAAAGAGCTGAAAAAGTGGAAGAAATTCAAGTTATCTCACTACAACTTGGTAACTCATTCCAGACATGTAGTAACATTCCAGACATCAAGTGAAATTCTTTGGTAATAACATCACAATTAGATCTATTAATCTTGCACTTAGAACCTGAAATCACACTGACACTCAGCACATGGGTTTGTGCATTAACAAAATTTACCAGCTCAACCTTATTTAATTCTTTCTTTTCCAGCCAATTAAACAAGCTCTTTAAACACTACACTGCTGGAGCCTCTGTCCTCAATCCTCACGTGCAATTACACTGAGCAGAAGAGCTGATGACACCAAAAGAGCATCAGCTTTAGGCCCCACACTTAAGGATGTTGCTTGTATCATTAGCAGCAGCTCAAAAAGGACTTTTCTTGCTCATCACAAACCAAAAGAAAATCCCTCCATGGGAAGCTAAAAACTGTCAGATTCTCTGATTTCTTGGTTACAGCAGAGACCAGAAAGGTTGGAAGAAGTTCTCTCTGTATCCTCACTACAATGATAAATGGCTCCTGGTGCCTAAGGGATGAAGCAGCCAAAAAGGAAGAGTCCAAGGCTAAGGGTCATCCTCACTTTGATCCATCAATTACTTGCTCTTCATTTAACTATCTTCAGGACTAATAAAAATTATTTAATTTGACCTGGGCTGTTGAGGGCAAAGTGAAGCTCCCAATTTAAATCTCTCCCCTCCTGCAAGCTCAGGGTGAAGACAATTGTAATGCAAAGTTGGAAGGACATTTTTGGTGCTCCATTAGAGAAAAGGAACACATTTTTAGACTGTTTTTCATGCATCTTATCACCTATAAATGAATTAGCAGGCTACTAAGTGTGCATCCAATTTCCATGCAGCTCATGGTGACTGGCTTCCAAACTCTCCCAAATTTGCTCCTTTCAATAACCAGCAGGGACCGATAGGATCTGTGAGGGGGAAGGGGAATTGCTGTGCATGTTAATGTGCAGGAGGACTCAGCCAGGCTCAAAAGTAACAGGAGAAAAGACTTACTTGAACCGAGCTGAGACTTCATCAGCAGCTTTTTGGTATTGCTCCGTGGTGACTTTGTAGAACTGAGCACTCTGGAGAACAAAACAGACACACATTTCAGACAACATCACTTATAGAACTTAGAGAAAACAAAGACAATCTGGATATTTTTCCCATTTAAGCTGCTCCAAACCCCTCAAAACCTCAATAAAAGGAGATATTTGACAAAGTTTCAGGGGTGGCTTTTTTTTTTTTTTTTTTTTGGTGTGCATCCTTCTGGCTCTGGAAGGTTCTGCAGAAGAGATGGTTCTGAGGGAGGAAACTAAGGAGACACAGGGTAAGAATCCCAAATTTAGCACAAGGTGTTGAAGTCTTTGAAACTTCTTAATTAGAAAGAAACATCAAAATACTGAATCCTTACTTCATTGCATGTCCCTGTCTGAGTTACCCACACACATATCCCCACTTGGTCTGCAGGTGATACTCAAGTCAAACTTCAAAGCTGTACAATAAATTAACTATGGCTCAACTTTCTCCTTTACTCCTTGCCTTGAAAATGCCTCTGAAACCAGTTATTGTAATATTCCAAAATTCCAGGGAGCTTCAATCAGTTGCTAGGTTTAACCTTTCAAATCAAGC